CTTCCCTTCCCTTCCCTTCCCTTCCCTTTCCTTCCTTCCTTCCTTCCTTCCTTCCTTCCTTCCTTCCTTCCCTCTTTCCTTCCATTCCTTCCCAGATTTCTTTATAGGGAATGTGTGAAAAACTTCAAAAAAAAAAAAAAAAAAAGGTCTCTTCTGCTCCACCCATGCGTCATATTGTTATGTTCAGTTCTCTTCATTAGAACTTTCAAGATAGAGATGAAAGACTCTCCTACATATATGTTTGGAGAACCTGAGGCCTTTTATTTCTACAATCACTGGAAAATAGCGGATCCCCAAGTCCATAGGTATGCAATTAGGCCTCAGAACATTGAAACTACCCTTAATGGGGACAGAAAGAACAGTGGCTCCTCCGATATGTTCATGAAAGTCCTGCCCATTGAAGTCCACATAGGTCACGTGGCTGTGCTGAATGGAAAGCTTAGACACATATTAGTCCTGAAATAGGTTCACATGCTGGTGTCACTCTTAGTCCCAGCTGCTTATGAATGTCACTTTTATGAGAGTCCAATGTCAAAACAACCTCTTCAATCGTTTTCTCTCTTACTGCTCCAGAATGTGCACTCAGGTACTTAGAAAAAAGAAACGATTGAAGGAATTATAAAACTCACCAAACGTACAAAAGAGGACATGAGAGGTCAGTAGAAAAATCTGGATAAACATTGGCTATAGAAGAGCCAGAGCTCTCTCTTGAAGATTGATTTCAGGGGCCATCCAGATAGCTCAGTGGACTAAAGAGCTTGCTTAGGCAAGCACAAGGACCAGAGTTCCATTCCCAGCTTACTGTGCTGGCCCCCAGGAGTGCTGGCCCCACCCCCAGGACACAATGAGACTGCAACTTCAACTGAGACTGGGTGTGATGGTGTACACCTGTAATCTCAGTGTTTGGGAGGCTGAAACAGGAGGATCACTATGAGTTCGATCTGTGTAGTTGGACTCTGGAGACCCTGTACTAAATGCATTTAAAAAAAAAAAAAAGATTGATTTTAAGACATACCTGTTCCTCCTGTATTCACTAGCCCTTGTATTTTTTACTTTTCCCATAAACAATTTCAGTTCTCCAGGACTGTCTCTGAAGTTGAAAGCCTACCCGCCTAGCTTCTGACCAACAAAGAAATTAAGGACAAAGACTGTATAGTATTCATGATGAACATTTTAATTGTCATTTTATTACATAGATAGAGAAATCTCCAGCTATGGTTTAATGACAAACCCACCTTAAATTATCAAAGTTGGGTGTTTCTGTTAAAATAAAAACCTGCTGCAGTGATGGAAGTATGTGCTTGTACAATAATAGAATCCACTGTCTTGCCAAGGTTGCACTAGGTTACATGTTTGTACGTTCTGAATACTTTAATGGTGTGCACGTTTGGGCCCTTCGCTGTGGTGGTTAAGTGGGAAGTAAAAGGGGGTGTTCTAGAGCAAGAAAAAGAAAATCTGCATATTCGTTTCAGCATAGTCCTTTCCTGTATTTGACCTTGTATGAGTGACTTAGTCTCCCAGAGAGTTAATTTCCTCTCTGCAGAGCTCCACAGAGTTGGTGAAGGGTCAAGTAAGATTAATGTGTGTGAAAATGTCTCAATAACAATAGTGTGTCACATTCCCATAAAGAGGGCTCATTGAAGTGGATAACATTTGTCACTGCATAATATCTTATCCCGATATAGACTATTTTTATTTTAGACAATACTTTAAACTGAGGACCCTGCCCTTCAGGAGCTTTTCTTCTTGTGAACTTGATCCAACTTTTGATGTACCTGTTGGCCCCTCATATAATTCCTTTCCCTTCATCTAATGATAGCTATCAACCTCTATGACACTGTTCTACTTCAGTGCAAGTACTGAGTCCCTTTCCAGCTTGAAGGATAATAAGGGTGGGCTAAGTTCAAGGCCCAGCTGTCCTTCCTTGAAGCTTTGCTTTGCTGATGAGGACTGAATTTGTTATGAACAGCTTCCCCTGAAGGCCTTTTATGGAAGGAATTTGATCAATATTCTTTGAATTAAGATGACTTCTGTTGTTGTTGTTGTTATTGTGTACTTATTTTTTGCTTTGCTTTGTGTGGGGACAGGGTCTCACAATGCAGTTCAGGTTGCCTTAAACTCACTTGGGTATCTCATGCTGGCCTTGACTCCCATTGACCCTCCTGCCTCAGC